TAAGACACGAAACGATCAGCCTGTGCAAGATATAATTTTTTACCTCTGATTCATCGCAATGTCCGAACTGTCCTGAGCGCATTCACAACATCCGGCGCGTGACGCGTGACGCGTGTACGTGCTCTGGCATAGTAGACATAGATATATACATAAGTAGATTCCCGTTGCCCATAGAAACAGTAACTAATGAGGCATCTACTTATATATATCTATGTCTACTATGCCAGAGCACGTACACGCGTCATGCGCCGGATGTTGTGAATGCGCTCAGGACAGTTCGGACATTGCGATGAATCAGAGGTAAAAAATGATATCTTGCACAGGCTGATCGTTTCGTGTCTTAAGACCTAAATGTATCGTCACGAGCCGCAGGGTTTAATTTGGTTTTGTTTGTGTATGTTTTTTTGACTCTCAAAGCCGTGGAGTCCATAGACTGCCATTATAAGACTGACAGACTGCAACGGTTTGAGTTAAAAATCTTTGTTTGTGTTCTACTGAAGAAACAAAGTCACCTACATCTTGGATGCCCTGGGGGTAAGCAGATAAACATCAAATTTTCATTTTTGGGTGAACTATCCGTTTAATAACCACCTTACTAACTATTATTAAGCATCAAATTGCGTATTTATTGAGGCAAAAGTCGTAGTTAAGAGTTAGTTAATAGTGAGAATTGTTCCCTGAACTAAAGTGTGACCATTAAAACTATTAAAAAATGTTTTTGGTAATTGAAATAAAGCTGAAATAAATTAAAATATAAATATTAGATAAAAAACGTAAAATTAGAAATGTCAACTAGCTGATATAAAATTCTAACTAAAACTGAAATAAAAATAAATTCAAGCTAAATAGAAATATTAAAAGGCAAAAATGTATAAAAATTACATAAAATAAAATGTTAAATTTTTTTTAATTAAAAGCTAATTGCCACAGACACTATTGTTATCATTACCTAAAACTATTAAAAATTTGTTTTTGGTAATTGAAATGAAGCTGAAATAAAATAAAATATAAATATAAATAAAATTTTAAATGTCGACATAGCAACTAATTGAAATGAAATTCTAACTAAAATGACTACAGATAAAACTGAAATAAAATAAATTCAAGCTAAATAGAAACACTAAAAAAGCAAAAACTAATAAAAATGACAAATATAACAAAAAATATAAATTAAAAAATAATAATAAATAATTCAAAATATTAATAAAAAGTATAAAATAAAACTGGTCACACACAAACATACACATGAAGTCTATTGATGGAAATCATTAAAAATTCAACAATTCTGGTTATAATTTCAACAATTCATATTCCGTAATGGTTTTATTAACAACTCTTTTAGTACTTTAGATGAATCAAACCAGTAACTCGTGAGTCCGAGGCTGATTTGTGTCTTTTTGACAGATTCTTTACAAAGAACTGATTCAAAAGAGTAATTTGTTCATGAATCACACTACAGTTTTCACACTGCATGTTTATTGAATGCAATTTGCAATTTTATTTTAGTGATTTAGATCTTATTTACTGAACTATTAGAGAACTGAGAAAAAACTGGATAAGTGGCTCATGTTGCTTTTGCCCTTCTTCATTACTGGAGGCTGTAGTGATACCGTTGGATGATACGATAGACTGAATCAGAACAGCAGCTCAGCACTATGTAGACATCAACATTTGCTCACCTGAGATTTGAAGTAGGTCTCCTGTGGCGTCCCGAGCACATCCGCCGAGGCGATATCCAGATGGAGAAGGATCTGTCTGAAGGACGGCCGGTTTCTGGGTTTACCTTGCCTGCAGGTACAAGACGAACCAATAAAACATCGTTTTAGAGAACTCTTAGAAATACTTGATTCTGACTGGCTAATCACAGCTTTCTGCAGTCAAAAATCTATATCTGCAACTATCTGGCAACTGCCTAGCAACCACCCAGAACACCCTAGCAACTGCCCAAAACAACCCTCGGAACTGCATAGAAACACCTTAGCAACCCCCTAGCAACCACCCAGAACAACCCTTGCAACTGCATAGAAACACCTTAGCAACCCCCTAGCAACCACCCAGAACAACCCTTGCAACTGCATAGAAATACCTTAGCAACCCCCTAGCAACTGCCCAGAACAACCCTTGCAACTGCATAGAAACACCTTAGCAGCCTCCTAGCAACCACCCAGAACACCCTAGCAACTGCCCAGAACAATCCTTGCAACTGCATAGAAACACCTTAGCAACCACCCAGAACAACCCTTGCAACTGCATAGAAACACCTTAGCAACCCCTAGCAACCACCCAGAACAACCCTTGCAACTGCATAGAAACTCCTTAGCAACCCCCCAGCAACTGCCCAGAACAACCCTTGCAACTGCATAGAAACACCTTAGCAACACCCTAGCAACCACCCAGAACACCCTAGCAACTGCCCAGAACAACCCTCAAAACTGCATAAAAATACCTTAGCAACCCTCTAGCAACCACCCAGAACAACCCTTGCAACTGCATAGAAACTCCTTAGCAAACCCCCAGCAACTGCCCAGAACAACCCTTGCAACTGCATAGAAACACCTTAGCAACCCTGTAGCAACCACCCAGAACACCCTAGCAACTGCCCAGAACAACCCTTTCAACTGCATAGAAACACCTTAGCAACCCCCTAGCAGCCACCTCGATAGATTACGGCAGTCCTTAATCATAACTTAATCATAACACAATATGATATTTAATTTATAAATATCACAATTATCGTCAATAATTGTTTATTTTTAATTACTTAATAATTTCAATTAATCAATATTTCTTGTACAGCAGTTTTAACTTTGACAGCAAATTTAGATTTCGTTTTAGTCAGTCTTTTGACTAAAATGCCATTTAGTTTTAGTCATATTTTAGTCATCTGAATTGTTTTTAGTTTTAGTCTAGTTTTAGTCGACTAATCTAATACTCGTCAAAACGGACAATTCGACATAATTTTGTTTGTAATTCTCCGTTCATGCGACGCTTAAGAGTACTCGTGCGCTGTGAGACGCGCTTTCTGTGTGTGTGTGCTTCAGTGTCTGCGCTCAGAAAACCGGACCGAATTGAGTTCTCTCTTGCGTCGTCAGATTTATCCATATGTCTGCTCTTCTCTTACTCCCACATATTGACATTTTTGAACGTTTTGCAGGTGTATGTTAGCTTATGTCCCACCGGTTCATATGTATGCATCTAACCTCCGAACCACGCAACAGATTCGTTCTAAATGAACCTCTTCCCAAATCGTCCCTCCCTAACATTTTCGTCTCATTTTTATTCGTTGACGAAAATGTCAATAGATTTACGTCATAGTTTTTGTCATTCAAAAAGAGTTTTAGTTCGTTATCGTCTCGTTGTCGTCGGTGAAAAAAATGTTGTTGACGAAAATTATTCGTCAACGAAATTAACACTGTTGTACAGTATTCCGTTCATGTGTAGCTTTATTCCGTAAACACTAACAGTGTTCTTCCCTATTATAAGAACAGCACAGAAGCGTGTGTAGATGAAGAGTCTCACCAGGTCTGTTTCATGAGGATCTTGAAGCCGTCGGGACAGGTGGACGGCACAGGCAGATGGAGGCTGTTACTCCCCACACCCCAGATGATGGCAGACGAGTCCACGTCCTTATAGGGGATCTCACCAGTCAGCAGCTCCCATAACACCACCCCGAATGACCTACAAACACACAAAAATCAGCATTCACAGCTTACACTACACACACTACTGCTCTAACGCTCGAGTTCTTAATATTTCTGAAAGAAGCCTCTTATGCTCACCAAGGCTGTATTTATTTGATCAAAAATACTGTAAAAAGAATGAAATATTATTACAATTTAAATAACTATTTTCTATGTGAATATACTGTAAAATGTAATTTATTCCCGTGATCAAAGCTGGATTTTCAGCATCATTACTCCAGTCTTCAGTGTCACATGATCTTCAGAAATCATTCTAATATGCTGATTTGCTGCTCGAGAAACATTTCTGATTATTATCGATATCACTGCATTAGCTCACACTCACCAAATATCTACTTTCTCCGACACCGGCTCATTCCGGATCACTTCGGGAGCCATCCAGGCCACCGTACCGGCAAATGACATCTTCATACTCTTGTCACTGAGCTCTTTAGATGTTCCAAAGTCTGAGATCTTCACGTTGTCATTTTGAGTGACTAGCACACTGCAAAAGAAAACACACACAAACGCATGACACGATGCTGCCCGTTTATTTCCATATATACTGTAAGTGATTTGAGATTTGTTAAGTGTTTTTGAGCGTTTTATGCATCTGATAAAGTAAGCATTTTTGTTAATTGAAATAAAGCTGGAATAAAAGAAAACATAAATATTAAGTGAAAACCCAAACCCTGGTATTGTCTTAAAAATCTGGGTACAGTTGTTGTGGGTTGACCTTTTGGATTCAAAGTAATATCTGACTAAGATGAAAATAAATAAATAAACAAAAATAGCAAACCTTTAACCTTTTTTTTGGTAATGTGTGGGAACCTTTAATAGTTCCCATACATTACAAAACATGAGAACATGATTTTTTTAAACTGTATTTAAGAATTATTTTATTAACATTTAACAATTATTTTTAACATGTTTTAAAACAGAAGTAGTGTAGAAAAGCACTTATTCTGTGTGCTTTCCTAAAGCTTAAACAGTAGAGCATGGCGCTCGCAACACCAGGTTCACGGGTTCGATTCCCAGCTAAATTAACAGGCATGAACTGAAAATGCACCATCAATGCAGTGTAAATTTCTTCAGATAAAAGCATCTGCCAAATGCATAAAAGTAAATGTAAATACCCTTAGAGGGTAGTTGAAATTGACCCGTGAACATCATAATTGTAACATACATTTTGTATACACATTACACAAAACTTTATAGAGTGTCAAAACTTTGCATGCATGTTCATGATCCTAAATAAGGAAAAAGTCACAAAATATCAAGAAAACATATCATAGGTTAACCAATATTTCCAACAACTCAAAAATCGAGGTGGGTCAAATTAACTGACAACATAATTTGAATTAAACCTTAATAAAAAAAAATTATAATAATAATAATTTGCCTTGGCAACTAAATTGGAGTCCTAAAATGAAATAGTAAGTATGTTTTAAAACAATTTAACCTTTTAAACAGAAGCAGTGTGGAAAAGTACTTATTCTGTGTGCTTTCTTGAAGCTTTCAAAGAAAATTAAACTAATACAGAAAAAAAATGATGAAGGCTAAAAAATGTAAAAATAAATAAAAATAACACAAAATAATAAAAATGACAAAAACATATAAAATTACAAACACTTTGACTAAAAATATAAAAAAAAAATAAAAGCCAATTCAAATGTAAATAATAGTAAATAAACAATCCTAAAATCCCACAGGTCTTACTTTGGTGATTTGAGGTCTCTGTGGATGATCTTGTGGAGGTGCAGGTAGTTCATGCCGCTGGCGATCCCTGAGGCCCAGTCCACCAGCAGCTGTGGCGTGATCTTACGACCGGCCCTGAGAACCTCATACAGCTGCCCTTGAGCACAATACTCCATGATGATGCAGTAACACGGGGCCTGCGTGCAAACACCCCTAAAATACAAACAGCACACTTTAGTTGTGTTCACTGCACTCAGAAACTCAAAACTGAGCATTTACAGCCACTATCTGGTCATGCACTGTGACCTACTTGAAGCTGATGATGTTGGGGTGCTTCAGCTTCCGCAGGTGTTTGATATCCGTCTCCTTCTGCTCTCGGACTTTCTTGATGGCGACCTCTTCGGAGCAGAACTTTCCGAGGAACACGGCGCCCTGAGCTCCGCTGCCTAGCCACTGCAGCTCAGAGATCTCCTCAAACGGCACCTCCCACATGTCTACTGACCAATCAGAACACACCATCAACATAGCGTACAACAAAACTACAGCAAAGATCAGTTTAAAGGGACAGGTTCACCCAAATATAAAAATTCTGTCGTTTAGTTGAACACAAAAGAAGATATTTTGAAGAATGCGTGTAACTGAACAGTTGATGGTAGCCATTGATTTCCATTTTTCCATACTATGGAAGTCAATGGCTGCCAGCAACAGTTTGGTTATCAACATTCTTCAAAATATCTTCTTTTATGTTCAACAGAACAAAGAAACTCATACAGGTGTGGAACAACTTGAGGGTGAGTAAATGATTACAGAATTTGGATTTTCAGAACACATTTTTGCATTCCACTGCATTGCTTTTCCATTGTTTTTCTATGTAAACATGCACTAGACCAGGGGTGGCAACTCACCTGCCTGTAGCTTCCTAGTAACCGTTCAGACCTTGATTAGCTCGTTCAGGTGTGTTTGATTAGGGTTGAAGCAAAACTCTGCAGGGCTGCGGCTCTCCAGGACCGACGTTCACCACCCCTGCACTAGACGGACGCTTTTGACCGTTGTGCTCGCATCATTATAGCGCTTTGTGCATTCTAAAACTGCCCCTCAAGATGTTTTTTTTCATTCCACTGCCATGCTTCTTGTGTTTCTACTGTGACAGTTTTAAGGCTACAATGGTATCTAGAGCAACGAATCAAGAACCAGTTAGATTTTTGCTATTTTGATTTTGTGTTGACTTTGTAGACCATGAAGTAAAAGTTGGCAATTAAAGCAATGAACAACAGTCGAGTTTGACCTGTCGGTTAATGATCACACTAACATGCAGGTAAACTAAGTATTTCATTTTTATTTCAAGTGATTTATTTTGATTTTTTTTTTATTTTAAAAGCATTTTACTTTTTTATGATTTAATTAAGTATTAGTTTTCGTCAACTCACAAACCCCAGTTTGAGAAACCCTGACTTAAAGTAATGTTTAATGCATTTAATGTTGTTGATAACAAACAATGAAATATGTTTTTATATCAATATGGTACAAAATAATCCTATTCAAATATATGTAATAAACGAGTTAGGTCAAAAGTAATCTAAAAGTAATCAAAAAATAAATCAGAATACATTACCTAAAATGTGTAATTTACTAGATTACATTACTAACTACAATTTTTGGTAACACTTTATTTTACATCACCCTAAAGTAAAAACAGTAAATTATACATAATTACATGCATAATTATTATTACTTAAATGCTACTATTACTTAAATGTATAATTACTAGAGTTAGATTTTTTATAACCGATACCGATATAGACTATTTACATGTTTATGTGTCCGATAACCGATATGCAGAACCGACATTCATTTATTGTTTTACTTCTGTTTTTTACACAATAAAAACAGTAAATTATACATAATTACATGCATAATTACTGTTACTTAAATGTTACTATTACTTAAAAGTATAATTACTAGAGATTGAGTTTTTATAACCGATACAGATTATTTGCATGTTTATGTGCCCTATAACCAATATAAAGAACCAATATTTATTTATTTTTTCTTCTGTTTTTAGCACAAGGATAACAAAAAATTGGTAGATTTGATATTACAAAACCAATATCCGATTACGGAAAATGCTTAAATATTGGGGGAAAACTAACATTTTTGGTAACATTTTATTTTACAGCGCCCTTGTTACTTGTGTTTTTACTAAAGTAAAAACAGTAAATTATGCATAATTACTATTACTTAAATTACTAGAGATCAATTTCTTTATAACAAATACCGATTGTTTGCATATTTATGTGCCTGATAACCGATATGCAGAACCGATATTTATTTACTTTTTTACTTCTGTTTTTAACGCAATGATGACAACATATCGGTGGATTCAATATTACAAAACCGACATCAAAACCGAAAAATGCTTAAATATCTGGAAAAATATCGGTAAAACCAATTATCGGCCGATCTCTAATAATTACACTGTAACAAGGACACCTTATAATAAACTGTAACTTGTAATTTGTAATCAGTATCTAATGGACTACAATCTGTAAGTAGCACTTCATACTCGTCATCACTAACCTTGCTGCTGAAGTTTGTACTCAGTCGAGTATGTTTTCCCGATAATATTCCACACGGGTCTCAAACATCCGAACAGCCCCTCTAGGAATCCGCCGCTTCCCGTCCCGGCTCTATGAAAGTGCAGTTTGATGTCATCATGTGGATGGTGGTGCGTGTCGTCCCCGCTGTGGTCCATCGGACACCCGCCCTCCTCGTTTTTCTCCTCCCCGCCGCTTCCGCAGCCTCCCTGACCGCAGGACCCCGGCGTCTCGGCCTCCTCATGCTCCTGCAGCTGCAGCACGCTGTTGTCGAAGTGTCCCTGCTCCCGCGTCGAGTCCTCGCTGAGGGCCGTGCATGGAGGGCTGGTGCCACCCGGCTCAGCGTCCCTGCAGGGGAGCTGCAGCTGTTGCAGCGGCATGGGAAGGGTGGAGGGAGGAGCCAGGTCTGCGATGATCTGCGGTGGAGGTGGTGCTGGCGGAAGCAGCGCTTGAGGAGAAACGTTACTGTTGGTTTTCTTCAAGGAGTCACCGACGACCGTGAGCTTCAGCTCCTCCTTCAGCTTCCCCACCAGCAGGCTGCTACAGGACGTCCAGGACAGCACCTCCGGGGAGCTTCCCATGGTGCTGTGCGTGTGCATGGGCAGATGCCCTCCTCACCCGACGGGAAATGAGTGGCGAGGCTTTACAGATGAATTCTGTTGGGGTTTATGACACACCTGCATGAGAAAGACAGAGACAATCATGCATTTAAAAACAACCTGATGGGTGCAACTTAACAAAACTGAACTGTTTTTTTACTTTTTGAACATGAACTGTTTCAACTTGAACATGGAGTATGATGCTGAAAGAAAAACACCAAAACAATGAGAAATGAGTGCTGATTTAAAAAGTTAGGTGTCTGCATGTTGCAAAGTTAACACAATTCTTTAATAAAAGTAACATTACACAGAACACAGAAATATAGAGTAAAAGAGGCAATTTAATTAGATTGAACTTTTTAATGCACAGTTTTTGGTAATGAATGAATTATGTAATTTTTTGCATCTACAGTAATTCTATTTATTTTTTATTTATTTAATTGTATTATAAAAATGATATAATTAATCCTTTTTAGTAATTAATGAATTATGTAATTTAATATTTACAATAATTAATTTTGTATATCTAATTTTATTGTAAAAAAAAATATTATAAATACATTTATATTAATAAATACAAAATATGCAATTTAATTTGATTGAACTTTTGATGTATACTTTTTTAGTAATTAATTAACTATGTAATTTTACACACATACATACATATAT